ACTGAGAACTCGTTACGACAGCTTCTTAGTCGCATTAAGTCTTAGTTCGTTATTGCCTATTGAAATAACCGAACTCAGTTGTATTTCACCTGATTCAATCTAATAAAACCGAGCTTCCGATCTAAATTACTATTTTGTCCCTTGTCGATATTCACATATCAACAGATCACATTAGTATCGGCTCCAATAAGAAGATGAGCAAACATTTCTTGTGCCTTCTCGGTATTGTGACGTCCGTCGAAGAACAGGTATGATCGTTGGTACTCGCATAGCTTCGAGTGCACGTTAGGCAAACCGCAACCATAAGCATCGTGTGTCCCAACTCCGCAGCAGGATGAGTTCGTCACAAAGAACCCTAGCAAGAACAAGTTTTAACGCTTTTGTATATGCTTATTCACATGGTATCGGCGCTTGAAATTAAAATAAATTGAAGTTGTTGTAATCAACCAACTCACGGTAGTTGAGGTTTCTTTGCGTCCTACGAAGAATGACATTGTAGAAATCAAAGACGGTGAATTGGAAACCACTAGCGGTTCTAGCCATTTCGTTCAACATTGGTCCGATTTTTTCGTTGTGTTGTTTAGCCAAATTGTTGAGAGGTTCGTAGCATTGATCCATCCCGGTGCTATAATCTTGTCTTACTATGGGTAAGCAACCTAATGGTGCTAGGGTTTGGATCACGAACTTACTCGCTCCTGATGAATACAACAAACTGATATCGTTCTTTAACTTGTTGGTCACGGAAGTGACGAAAGCTTGTTGGGCAGATGCATCGGCGTTAGGGTTGTTCTTGGTGAAATTCAAGTAATCGTTCGCACCAACGTATATCATAAACACTGATTTCTTGATGAAGTCGTCGTTCCAGTTTGCTGCTTTATTTGACTGAATTTCCTCACTTGTTGATTCAGAGTCAACTAAAGGGAGGAAAAAATCGAGTATTATGCTTGCAATAAGACTATAAAAGTAAGGCTTATTGATTTGAAGTTAGATGTCTTTATGTAATATATAAAAGAAATATTATGATTTCAATTGAATGTTGAAAAATATATAGATATATCATATATAAAAGAAATAAAGTGGACTTACAGATTCCACCGGAGCCCCGAGAAGGGTAGCATCGGCGACGGCGAAACTAGCTCCATGTGAGATATTGACGTTTGGTTTAAGTGCCGGCGGGATCTCGTTCGGGATTCCCATGAATCTTGCTGCATTATAATATTATTTAAAAAAATTCACATTTCAAGGAAGAAAAATTTTCACATTTCAGATATACGGTATATATTACTGTTTTATGTTATATATTGTATTTGTATGATTAAAAAAAAAAGAGCATATACATTTATTTACAAAATGTATATATCAAATATCATGTACAGTATAAAAATTCTGCTTTTTTTTTACGTTTAGAGTTTCATTAATCTTGAATTAGAAAATAAATTAATATATTTTCCTTTCGTTTTATAATAAATATCGTTAAGAAAATTTTTTTCATTATGAGTGTCGATCGTTTTATATTTTCAAAACAAATTTTAATACAAAATACTTAATTTAACCTTAGATCTAATAAAGAATTTCAAAAGTCTCATATATTTTAAGGATATTATTAAATTTTTAATATGTTTTATTAATTTGTGTGTAAAAAGTAACATAAATAAAAAAATAATAGATGTACAATTATTATGAAACAGAGGAAGTATAATAAAATAACATGTCGGTTTTGAGTTGTACAAATGTAAAAATTAACAAAATTTGATAAGATAATCAACTAATGACGTTGCCCCAAAAAAAAATTAACTAGTGGCTACACTTGTGATTAATAATTATAAACGTTTTAACTGGTACACCTATTCGTTTTTACAGGTTTCGAAGACTAGCATAAATTATGGTTTAAGATCCTCCGATTAATAATAAAAAGAAAATCGTACCGAGAAAGTCTGGAGCGATGAGACCGTCGGAGAATTTGCCGTTGGGATCATCTCTGGATTTTCCGTACGGCCAGAAACCTTGTGGAACGTTAGCTTGCGTGAGAGTCTGTTTGTTTCCGGCGTCAAAGTTGGAGTCACCGAACGTGAACAAGGCTGCACCGGACTTTTTTTGTCCGGCGACAGTGATCGGATTGTGGAACAGTGTAACTATCAAAAATACCCCTAGGACACTCGCTAAATTACAGTTGCTCGCCATCGGGAAGAGAGACTAAAAGAGAGAGATGAAGATGGTTTTTGTGACTAAACTTCATACACCGATTATTTTATATATATTGCAAATATAGCTTTTGGTAATTTACAATAATAATTACTATTAAACAACAACGTGTCGCGCGAGTTTAGTTTTCTAATACAAGTACTACTAATACAACTACGTATGCACAACTAGTAGTGAAGAGTAAATTAACCGATTATTTATATTTTGATAATTTAAAATAACTACTACTAATACAACTAAAAAGTGAAGAGTAAACAGATTATTGACCAAGTTACTTTCTTCCGGCTTTGCCGTGAACGTTATGTCGTTATGATGACGTATTAATTCGGGTAGCTTCTGAGATTCGCTTCCACTTAATTTTGCTGATTTTCAGCCTGCTCTTCTAATGTTTTCATGTTTATATTGTATTAACCTAGGAGATTTGATAACTCCCCTTACGTACAATTTTAACTGCAAAATTTTAAATGAATTAAAAGTAAGGTTTGCACGCAATTAAACAGATTATTGACCTAGTATAGTTGTATTAGAAGACACCGTTCACATGAAGACTGAAAGAGCAAGAACTGTGGCATAGATCAACATAGGGAGCAAACGATGAATTTGAGCTCATTAACATGAATGTCAAAATGTACAAAGGAAATATTGATTGTCTCTTATGGTTAGACACAAGTGCAAGTATATTGATTAATGAATGCAGTTAGCAAAAAACATATGGTAAAACTATGAAAATGTTCAAAGAAAAAAAAAACATATGGTAAAAATAAATGTTTTAGATAAAATTTGAGTTACAATTAAATTACTTGCCCACAAGGAACATATATATTTGGGTTTCTCTGCGTTCACCTTCTTTGCACCGGCAGGTTAGTCACAGGTAAGCAACGGAACGGAGCTTGCTCACGACAACGATATCATTGTCAAATGTTGTATAAGCTGTTATGTCAAATTATGCAAGTCCGACGAAAAGAAAAATGATTCCATGCATGCATGGATCATTATATGCGGGCGGATCTATATACGTGATACAATCCAAATCTTTTTTTATACTACTAGAATATTATCCAATTGGTAACTATATTATCAACTTGAACGTAGAGGATAGAGTCAAGATCGGTTGTTGCTTCAATTAATGAGATTTTAAAGTATACTTGTATGGGCTTGACTAGTTTAAACGCAGCGGTTGTGGTTGTGGTTGTAAGTGCGGGAGTTTGCGGAAGCGGAGGATTGCGGTTTTGAGCGTTATTCAGCGGTTTGCACGACTGGTTAAATTTTTTAAGGCGGATCCGTTTGCGGAACAATTTTGACTGTCAAACCAGTGATTGTTTTAGCGGTTAAACATAAAATTAGCAAAACAAATATCATATATGATTATAAAAAAAACAGAAAACTATATTATTATGATTAATATCAAAATCAATAGTTTAAAATAATTAATAAATTATAAATAAATACTAAATAATTATTTTAAAAATTAAGAAAATTTATAATAATATGTTTTATTTTAATTATTGGGAACATCATCCAAAGTTGTGTCTAGTAATGTAATAGACTGGAAAAAATTTGCTCTAATACGTGGATCTTCTGGATTTGTCTTATGATTGATGTAAAATTTTTTCAATTGATCTAATCAATTTTTTACACAATCCCAGCTCAAATCAACTCCAAATTGCTCATTAGTATTCTTCAAAATACGTTCTTTCTGGAGTGCACTAAAAAATCTAGGATATTTATCTTGACTTTAATTTTCCACAATGATCGGTTGAGTAACGCACATGTCATCTCGTTTGATTATGTAACTTTCTGAAGAACAAAAAAAAAGAATTATAACAAACTAATTTTGTAATTAATAAGATACATATTTATAATTTTTTACTTTAAATTTAAAAGTGGAAGAACAATTAATATAAATAAATTAAACTAAAGTATTATGACACTTATGCTTGTATCGTAATTTTTTTCAACTGATATTTGTTTATTTTTTATTTTTTTTATCTAACTGTTACCGTCCGCAACCGCAAACGCTGGCGGGAAGCAGCTTTTAGATTTCAGCGCTATAAAACGATACGGAACAGTTTGCAGCGATTCATATGATTGTGATAAAACATCACTAATCACTAGTAATCACAAACGCTGCGTTTGCGGATGATAACAGATAAACCAATCAACACCTATGTCTCCATCTTCCCACCTCGGGACGCGGGAGTTGTTTAAAGTATACTAGTAGTCAAAGTTAAGCCACTGTGGATCACATCTTAATATTTAAATAATGACTCCCAGTTTTGTCTTGGTTTTTAAATCTCGTCTCTGTCGGTCATGATCCGCCAAACCAGATCATATTGCATCATACTCTATTAATATTTATTTATTTACTGACTAAAATACTAGTCTATTTTATTATCCTTCCTACTGACAAAAGATAATATTGTATTGCACACTCTATTTATTGTCTGATTAATTAAATTCTATATTTTATTATTCTTCCTACTGACAAAAGATAATATTGTATTCGTTTTTTTTTTTTTTGGTCAAGTATTCGTTTTCTACTTAAAAATCAGCTTGATACTATAACTCAAGTCACAAAAGCATCGTTATGTATTTTTATCAATAATTTTAGGCCGATTAATCGTATTGAATAAAATAATAAAATGGAAGAGTGTTAATAAAAAATTTCATTGATTCTCTCTCTCTCTTACTATAAGTGTTAATTCGTTATTTTAATACGTACATAACTGGCTTCCATGTGTCTTCGTTTACTGTTTGAGTACATGATGGATAGATTAATGAATCCCGAATCAGCCCAATACGGTTGCAAAGATCAATCTTTTATTATAGAGAGAAACTCACTAGAGAGACGAAGAGAAAATAATTGCAAACAAAAAACATTAAGATTCCGGATTTTGTTATAACCAGATTGATCCCGAAATTTAAGATTGATTTTTAGGACTCAGTAGAACTCGTAACCGCGGCTTGATGACGAGCTAGAGTCACTGGCTTGGACGGTGGCTGACGTTGTAGGCACCCAAACTTCACGCATAGGTTCATCGACTGGGTAAACCACGAGCTCACGGACGTTCATTGGTTGGATCACATTAGGATCGGCTCCAAAAAGAAGATGACCAAACATTTCTTGCGCCTTCTCGGTGTTGTGACGTCCGTCGAAGAATAGGTATGATCGTTGGTACTCGCATAGCTTCGAGTGCACGTTAGGTAAACCGCAACCATAAGCATTATGTGACCCAACTCCGCAGCAAGATGAGTTCGTTATGAAAAACCCTAGTAATGACCAATTTATTTGTATATGAGTATTCACATATATAGTAGAATACTATCTATCAGAGAGATTAAAAACTAAAATAAATTGAAAATAGCCAACTCACGGTAATTGAGGTTTCTTTGCGTCCTACGAAGAATGACATTGTAGAAATCAAAGACGGTGAATTGGAAACCACTAGCGGTTCTAGCCATTTCGTTCAGCATTGGTCCGATTTTTTCGTTGTGTTGTTTAGCCAAATTGTTGAGAGGTTCGTGGCATTGATCCATCCCGGTGTTGTACTCTTGTCTGGCTATCGGTAAGCAACCCAATGGCGCGAGGGTTTGGATCACGAACTTACTAGCTCCTGATGAATATAGCAAGCTGATATCGTTCTTTAACTTGTTGGTCACGGTAGTAACGAAAGCTTGTTGAGCAGATGCATCAGCGTTAGGGTTGTTCTTGGTGAAATTCAAGTAATCATTAGCGCCAACATATATCATAAACACTGACTTCTTGATGAAGTCATCGTTCCAGTTTGCTGCTTTCATTTGATTGAATTTCCTCACTTGCTGATTCAGAGTCAACTAAAGGGGAAAAAATATTATAGTTAATATTACAGATTAAGCTTAGTGGTTTTTAAGTGAGATGTCATGAAGTGATAATGAATATAAAACAAATTTTAGATGTCCACTTAAAATGGGCGGTCAAAAGAAGACATAGTTGTTTGTTTTACTCGAATAGAATAGTCTTGTAAAATATCAATAAAATGTTGAAATTAATTAAGTAGACTTACAGATTCCACCGGAGAACCGAGAAGAGTAGCATCGGCGACGGCGAAACTAGCTCCACGTGAGACATTGACGTTAGGCTTAAGCGCCGCCGGGATTTCGATCGGAATCCCCATGAATTTTGCTGCATATTGTATTTGTTTTTCATTTTTTAGCTTTTCAAATAAATTATCGTTATTTGTCCATATATGTTGGACAAATCAAATATATACAAACAAAACAAATATTTCCATGCAGCTGAGCCTCAAACTATGCACTAATATATCATACTTAATTAGTAGTAAATTAAAAAGTAGGCCTTGAATGCTTATAGTTTCTGAGATTGGTTTTTGGTAAACTAAATAGATCCAGGATCTTTATAACGTTAGGATTTTAAACGTACCGACAAAGTCTGGAGCGATGAAGCCGTCGGAGAATTTGCCGTTAGGGTCATCACGGGATTTTCCGTATGGCCAGAAACCTTGAGGAACGTTGGCTTTGGTGAGAGTCTGTTTGTTTCCGGCGTCGAAGTTGGAGTCGCCGAACGTGAACAAAGCCACCGTTGGGATATTTTGTCCGGAGACGGTGATCGGAGTGTGAAATAGCGTGAATACCAAAAATACCCCTAGGACACTCGCCAAACTATAGTTGTTCGCCATCGGAGAGAGAGAGGAGAGAAGATCGTTTTCTTTTGTGCTGAATTTCATAGACCAGTTCATTAATATTTATATTGCAAGTATGACTTTTGGCAATTACAGTGATTATTATTTTTAAATAGTAACGTGTCGCGCGAGGTTGATATTTCTAATGCAACTATGTACTTTTATTTTTGTTAAAGGGAATAAATAATAAAGGTTACATAATAACAGATGAAAATTTATTTTATCAAAAAAACAAAAAAAAGAACAGATGAAACCACTCATCTCTTACAGGCTACAGCATGTCAACAACTATGTACTTTTATTGATAAATCCAGACTATCCAGTTATATCACATCTGACGAAATGTTTATTTTTAATATAAAATTATTACTAGAATCAGGATCGTGCATACATTTACGAGGCCAAATCAAGACTGAAAAAAAATTACCAAAAAAAAAAGACTGAAAAACTAATATCAATGAAATATTCAAAACACTGAAAATTGAACATGTAACCCACGTGAAGCAAAAGAAGACAATGTAAGGAAATGAAAATATTTTACTCATGTTTTAGTCAACGATAAATTTAAACGCTTCTTTTTAAAAAGAAAGTGATGTACCAAATTCCACACTCTCCCAAGCAATTAAGGTTTGAACTCGGGGTTCTTTCGGAGGACAAACTTCTCGACCAAATGATAGATTTTACTTTTAACCCGTTTTACATTATTTTTATATTTGTAATTGTAACTGTATTTTTTATTTAAAATTATTAGTTAAAGTGTAGTACAGATTTTCTATTTTTCTCAAACCACTAGAGAAATGTAACCGACCCAAAACCAGAGACGTATATGTTTTTTTTGAGAAAATGAGAGGGAGGGGGTGGTAGATGTATAAAAGTCTAGCGATGATTTTTTTCTCCGAAACTTTTTACTAACGGACATATTCGGGTAGTACAAAAAAAGATTAAGCAAATGACACATAAATTATAATTTAATGGTTAGTTTGTATTAGTGTTGTTATGTTTTATTATCCGAGTTGGTGAACGCTTATTTGGAATCATTAAAACGACAAAAGGTCCACAAATTGTTACTAAGAAATTACTTAAAAATAAAACGTTCAGAAACTATATAACAGAAAACAAATCTGCTTACGTCGAGGTGGAGTTCGTTATGAAGCGTGCTTCATTTGAATTATCTGTGTATCATGATCATGGTTCTTGGTTAAATTTCATATGAACTTAACTATAACCATATAGCCTGCCCCATTGCCTGATGTATAGCTTAACTTTTCTGGAATTGGTATAATTACTACCTTTTATTTCTTTGTTGCTAATCATTTCTACTATTTCATTTATGATATACTTTCATAATTTATAGGAAAGTATAGAAAAGAAATTGAACTACATTAAAGAAAAGTAGTTTATAAAAAAGTTGAGTCATGGCTTTATAAAAAAGTATAAAAAATGTTCAGTTTTTCACTAATACAATTAACCAACTGATCATCCGGAAAAAGTTTGGTGGTTACATCATAGGTGAATTTGAAATCCGTTATCTTTTAAAGGATACCACTAAACTTTATCATTTTGTTCTAATGAGGTGAGTGATGTGGTCCCAAACTTTTCTAATTTGAGCACAAACCTGGTAATTTGATACGCTTTGTTTTATATTCTGGAGTTTGTCATAATATCCATTGAGATAGAAAAGACAATGTAAAACGAACTGTTTGATTGTTTTTTTTTTTTTTTTTACTTTCGAACGGACTATGTGGCGTCTAGAATCAGGTTTGTTAAATACTTTTGTTGGGGGGGGGGGGGGGGGTAAATTCTTTTGCTCCGGTTTACATTTTGTCAAAAGTATTGTGAAAACAGAAACTAATTAATTCGCTAAAGTTCAAGTACTTAAGGAAGTTTGAAACAAAGAAAAATAATTGTCATTTGATATTTTGATTTATATGTATTGTTAGATTTATTAATTTTTCCTTAATAGTGACGAAATGTGCATGTTTTCATAGTTCCCTCAATAAAAAAGTGCATGTCATTAAATTTTTTCCAAAAACAGTGGAAAATATTTATTTAAAATCTCAACAAGCTCAGCTCGCGTTTGATCATAGAGATAGTAAATACTGAGCTCGAAACTAGACGACGTTACATAGATGCATTTGCATCAAAGTCAATGTCGTCGACTAACAATAAATTCTCCTCCTCTGGTTCTTTCCAAAACTCACGCATGGGTTCATTAACAGGATAGGCAATAAGCTCACGAACGGTCATGGGTTGGACAACGTTTGGGTCGCCTCCAAATAGAAGATGAGCAAACGATTCTTGTGCTTTCTCTGTGTTATGACGTGCGTCGAAGTAAAGGTAAGATCTTTGATACTCGCATAGCTTCGAATGTACGTTAGGTAAACCGCAACCATACGCGTTATGCGTTCCAATACCGCAACACGATATATTTGTAAAGGAGAACCCTAAATAGTCACAACAAGTATATTATCAAATTTCAAATACTATTTTAGCAACAAAAAATGTATTATCAGATACGCTCAGAACGATATTAATCATAAGTATATAATTGTAACGGTGAATTATATTATACTTACGGTAATTCATGTTTCTTTGTGTCCTGCGAAGAACGACGTTGTAGAAATCGAAAACGGTAAATTGGAAATCCGTTTTGGCTTTTGCCATTTCGTTTAACATCGGTCCGATTTTGGCATTGTGTTGTCTAGCCAAATCGTTGAGTTTCTCGTAACAATCGTTACCGGTTTCAAATTCTTGCCTTACGATCGGTAAACAGCCTAATGGCGGTAACATATGTACGACGAATTTACTAGCTCCCGATGAATACAACAGCTGCAGTAAAAATTATAGTAACATAATTAAATATCAACACTAACTGATTTTTCGATTAACTTTAAGTCGAAAGGACTTACTTTGATATCGCTCTTTAATCGGTTAGTGACAGAAGTGACGAAAGCTTGTTGAGCAGAAGCATCAGCATTAGGATTGCTTTTGGTGAAGTTGTAGTAATCTTCCATACCAATGGATATCATAAACAATGATTTCTGAATGTAATCTTCTTTCCAATTTGATATCATCTGATTGAATCTCCTTACTTGTTGATTCAGAGTCAACTGCAAAAAAAAAATCAAGAATTATTTATGTCTCAACGTTTTATTTATGATTTTTTTTTTCTTGAATTTAATGTTAAATTATATTCAAAAGAAAAAAGAACTTGTTTACAACTTTTCTGGTCGTTTTAGAGCTTAATCAAAGAAAAAACAATTTTCTTAGCTACTATCTTGTTGAAAACCAAACACGAAGACCATCTTCATATCGATTGTCTCCGTTGTTGCGAATCGAGCAAAGCTGGGTTCTGATGTTTTTGTCAATGATCTTAACGAGTCTGTGAACCGTCGAGGGAGAATCTCCATGGCGTCGTCCATTTCTCTCTCGCCAGAGAGTATGCACCGAAATTTGAAAAGCGTACCGTACAAGGAAGTGTCGAGTACAGTCTCTATACGTTTTATTTATGATTAATTAACAAATTAATAATGATGTATTTAATACATATATGAAAATAAGTAAGGGAGCTTACAGAATCTTTGGGAGAGCCAAGAATAGAAGCAAGACCAACGGCGAAGCTAGCTCCTCGTGAAACATCGACGCCGGGTTTAAACGCCGGCGGTAAATCGTGTGGACTTCCCATGAATTTTGCTGTGATTAATTCACTCGTCAATGAAATTTTAATTATTACTACGTAATGGTTGATAGAAAAGCATTTCTCTCTCAATTTTCTTTTCTGAATAAAACCTGTGTCTTCGTGTGATTAATTAAAATATTAGAGAAATAAACATAATTTTTTTAACTGATGGAGACCTTTGAAAACAATTACTAGTCCGTTTTCTCTTTACATATTTGTCATGGATTGGAATTAAAAAAAATGCGGGCACAATTAAAAAAAAAAAAATCCGTTCATTTTAAACGCTTCACAAATATCATAAAATAGTTTGCAATATACATGTAATGTTATCGTTTTTCTGAATTGCTTGTTGACTAACTCATTTGAAAATAGTTCGTTGCTTTAAGTATACTTTAATTTAGCAACTATTTGGGGGAAATTGAAATAACAATAGCATAGCTAACAAATACACAACAGTCAAGTAATATGTTGCCCACCATTTTCTTTACAGTAAGAATAACTAATTAACATACATACCGATAAAGTCCGGGATGATTTTGCCATCAGAATACTTGCCGTTGGGGTCATCTCGGGATTTACCGTAAGGCCAGAAGTTTTGAGCAATTGTAGCTCTTGTGATGAACTTTCTGTTCCCGGCGTCGAAGTTGGAATCGCCGAATGTAAACAATGCCACCGCCGGCAAATTCTGCCCGGAGACTAGGACCAGGTTATGGAACAGTGAAAATACTAATACCCCTAGTACGCTCAGTAAATTACAGTTGCTTGCCATTTTGTATTATAAGATATATATGATAAGTTCCTAGGTCCATTATTATATTTATATAGAGTACATTATGCGAAACTAGATGTTATTTTTTTTAAAGTTTGTTACAATCTAAAAATTATTCAAAATAAAGTGAGACCGTTGTGAATGTGGAAGTATTCTGTCTCTCACGTTTTTGATATGTCTTATCGGTTTGAATCTAATTCCACTTGTACCTAACGCTTTAATTTCCAAAAGACAACCACTTATATGGAAATTTTTTTTGTATGTCTGTAAAGTTATTCTTTGAAAAGGAGATGCTTGATTATTCTTTTTTTTGTTTTTGTCAAAGGGGATGCTTGATTATATTCCTTCAACATGATTCCTTTCAAAACTCTTGATCGACAAACCATAGTAGAGTTAATTTTTAAAAAGTAGCATTAAGTTAAGAACGTTTATAAGAGTAAGATATTATCCTTTTATTTTGTGTCAAGATCGAATTCTCTTTAAGCAGCGCGCAGCCAACAAATACACTTGAAATTAACATTTAAACAAAAAAAAAAAACAAATACACATGATAATTTGATTAACACGTTAAACTAGCATAGTGCATGCATGTTAAACTAGCATGCACTATACAAATACACACGTAACACACGTTAAACTAGCATAGTGCATGCATGTTGAAGAAAAAAGTAACTACAGTATTACTATTTTCAAATACTTCATGATTAAATCATGATTATTTATAAAAAAACATTAATCATTATTGTTTTGAACCAAAACAAATATCTTTTTTTCGATCAGAGATATATTCCGATTGTCGATAGACCCAACGATCCCGATTTGGAAGAAGAATAAGCGCAAATTGAACTTTCTTATTTTGGTGAAATATATCAGTTATAATATATAAATGTATAACGGAACCCAACATGTGAAAAACAAAAAAAACCTTCAACATGTGAATACGTGTTGGTTACAGTGGAAACGACTATTGTGGAAAATCTATTGTGGAAAATATCCAAAATATAAAGAAGCATAGTACCTGCTTTGGGTGGTTAGAGAATTAGTTACCTGACAAACGACAAAAATATAATTTGTTTATTTCTCACCAACTAGCACTATTGGCTATTGCATGCACTCAGTCAGAATAGTTTTTCCAGGTCAGGTTATTTCCAAAAGATATCTCAGATATTTATACGGTGGTTTTGTGCACTCTTTTGAATAGTAAAATATTTGAGGTTTTATTATCTAAAGCTTAAGATTTGATTTTCACATTTTTATAACACTTTAAATCTTATAATCATATTTTTTTAAAAATAATTATTTCAATTTGTGTATTTCTTATTTTAATTATTAATTTAGTACTATTTTATATCTTATAATTTTTTATTATAAATTTTACGTTTAGGCATAAATTAAATAAGAACTAATAAAACAAACAATTCAATATAAAAGTAATAATTTTATAAAATTTAAAACAAGTTAAAAAACAATGTTACATTAAGCAAATTTAATGCAAAATAAATTATACAAGTAAATAACTATGCATGAAGACTTAAATATTACACAAATCAAAATAGCACAACATAATAATGTATGTTTTTAGTTATTTATAAAGTTTTCTATTTTTATTAATAATAATTAATAATGAGAGCGATAATACAAAATATAAAATTTTGTGAAATTGTATTTGAAGTTTTACTAACAAACATTCTCAAATCTTAAGTTTGAGTTTAACTCCAAAAACGAAGTTTGTTTTAGATGCCTTTATAAAAGAGAAACAACTGTTTAAGTTAGTGTAATTTTTTTTAAACGTCCCAGTAAGTGTAATTTTTTTTCTCTTTTTTTGAGAAAAAAAGTGTTAAGTGTAGTTTTTAGGTAGAGATTTGCACAGCATTAAGTTAATTAATTATTTCGAGAACGTGAATTATCAGCAGAGCATTAAATAGAAACGAGAAGATACTTAGATTATGGGCACTCATTAATAAGTTCCAGAAGTCGCTGATATAGGTGAACGTGCATGCAAGTGACCCATAGATGAGGTTACAATATTAAATACTACAAATTAAAAACTCTTTGCTCTCACAGAGAAGATCGTTTCAGTTAAAATAATTAAAAGACCTGTACAAATTTACAAACTCGTGACAGTAATTATTAAAAGAGATAATGAGGTAGACATGGAAAATTTTAAATGCCCACGTGGAGGTGAAATGAAGATAAAGTTAAAAATTTAACAAAAATATATGAAATGGGTTTTATATTGATTAAACAAATAATTCCACCTCTAACGGACTATTAAGTATTAACGGAGAAAAGTCTTACTGTAATTTTATAATGGAAACGTTGATCACGTGGCTTCACCGTGTTTTCTAACCACCGACGATGGAAGAAACTCAGGTCCCACAAAACGACGTCGCTTCTTATTTTTTGTCTGTTTGTTTCTCCCAGAGCTGAGCTTCACAGTCCTTCAATGGCGAATCCCAAATCTCACCTCTTCTCTCTCTCCTTCTTACTTCTTCTTCTTCTTCACTTCTCCACCGTCTCCTACGCTCAGACTCTCTTCATCTTCGGAGATGGTCTTTACGACGCCGGCAACAAACAGTTCGTCTCTTCGAATCGTGTCGACGCTAGCTTTCCTCCGTATGGAATTACACTAGGAGAGGCTACTGGACGGTGGTCCGATGGCCGTATTGTTCCCGACTATCTCGGTAATTATATATCTGATCAAAATTGGAGAAATCGATGGCTTGGATTTGTATTTGTTTCGGAACTAAATCTGGTTTTTTTTGTGTGTGTTCCTCTGTTTTGTTCTGAGCAGCTAGTTTCATGGGTATTCCTCAAATCCCTCCGATTCTCCGAGCCACGGCGGATTTCTCTCACGGAGCTAACTTCGCCATCGCCGACGCAACCGTTCTCGGCTCTCCTCCGGAATCGGTCAGCTTTTTCATAACTTTTCTTCTCTGTAGGAAAATTCGAATTCGAAATGCTGTTCTTACTTAGATGCTTGCACTTTTGTGTTGCTAAGCCAAATCTGGAAGTTTTGATTTTTCTTTTTTTTTTGTAAATCTCTTTCATTTAGAAACAATCTGAAAACTTGTGGTGAAGAGTAGAGAGTGTGAATTCTAATATAAAGAGATCTCAGATCATGTATATATTAGGTTAAATCTTTTCGTCTTGATGGTAGAAATCAGGTCAACGCTTTAAGAAATTTAGGTTAAATAGATCCTTTTTTTGTTGTTTGGTTACAGATGACTCTGTCACAGCAAGTGAAGAAGTTCTCGGAAAACAAGAACAAATGGACAGTTCAAGCACGTTCTGAAGCTATCTATTTGTTCTACATCGGCTCTGATGATTACTTGAACTATGCCAAGAACCATCCTAATCCTTCCGAAGATCAGAAACAAGCTTTTGTGGATCAAGTCATCTCTGCCATAGAAACAGAACTAAAGGTTAAAACCCAGCAGCTCCTACATCTTTGATTGGTTCCTTAAGACTTTTCGATTTGTTTTTTTTCAAGTATCGTCTTTTTCAGGTGATTTACGGGTCTGGAGGTAGGAAATTCGCGTTCCAGAACTTGGCACCATTAGGTTGCTTACCAGCAGTGAAACAAGCAAACGGAAATGTTCAAGAATGCGTGAAACTGCCTTCGGAAATGGCGTCTTTGCATAACAAGAAGCTGTTGCAGCTCTTGGTCGAACTCTCACGAAAACTCAGTGGTTTCCAATACTCGTTTTACGACTTCTTCAGCTCGATCCAAAACAGAGTTATCAAGTCCAAGACTTACAGTATGTCTTTTACCATGTATCTCCATTATCGTCATTTTTACTGACTTTTTGACAAAAAAAAAAGTCGTGACATTTATCATTTTCTGATGCAGCATTCGAGACTGGACTCGCTGCTTGTTGTGGAACTGGCTCTGTCAATGGAAGCGATTGCTCGACCAACAATGTTTGCGCTAAGCCTGAAGATTATCTCTTCTTCGACGGTAAGCATTTGACGCAAGAAGGAAACCTTCAAGTTGGGCATTTGATATGGGGATCAGATCCGGAAGTGATTGGACCGAACAATCTCAGGGAGCTTCTTGTTCTTCCTCTGGACGTTACAGTCATCTTAGCTGATATACAGGAAGCTATGGCTGCCGTGAGACCGAGGCAGATCAAAATTGAGAGTCTGTATGATATCAAGATGGAATCGGAGATGCAGAATCAATGGCTTTATCAAGTTGACGAAGCTAGCTCCTTCCTGATCTAAGATCGTAGTAATTACAATATGATCGAAGCAAGAGAGTATGCGTGGTTGCTGTAATAATAACCAGACAAGACAAGACATATTTTTATTTGGTTTGGTAATAAAAACAAGTGGAACCGGCCTTGTTCAGCGTGAAATCTTTACCGGACAATTTCACTAGGCCCAAAATAAGCCCCACTGGGGCCCTTTCGATCTCATTTTCACGTCCTCTTAAATTTACAGGGGTGTTAATTTAGGGGTGTCATAATGGCCAATTCGACAGCAATGTTATCGCCGGGTTTGATCTATCTAGTTATTTTACGGGTTGAGATTTATAACATAGCTCAATAGTCGATTTCATGTACGATGAGTAACAACGATTATAATTTCAAAAGATATTAATTATATGAATGCAACGTCTTGGAAGATACGTAGTGGGATTGGCCACGCGGTTGTGCTGGTCCTGAAGTTATAAATGATACAAGAAAATTAAGACATTTTTAATTTCTTGAAGTTGTACAGGTCTTAGTGGTCTTGGTGAAGTCACACGACGATGATTTTTGCTTGGTGAAGTCACATCTATTTCTTGCCATATTTCACACGGAATAAAATTTAACACCAGTACTGCAATTTTAAGAATTCTGATTGATAATTAAACAACCCTATATTCTCTTTTTTTTTTAAAAGAAAAATATCATATATAAACACCATACATAAATTATAAACTATAAGATTTCGCGTGATACACGAAGATTGATAATGCGTTATAACTTATAATTAGTATAATTTGATTTTAATATATAAATAACTCCATATTCTAAAATTTATGTTTGAATGGAACTATGGAAGGGAAGCTCTTCATACATTTAAAATTTTAGGTAGATGATTCCCTTGAGTGCAAGTGTTTTCTCTGTGAATTAGTGCATCATATATAACTTTTGAATTGCCACAGAATGTTATCTGTTATGCAAGGGCAGTATCAGTCAATCTATTGATGTCGAGCCTTTAATAATCTTTCCCGATCTTTTGTTATGGAGTGTCCATCCAAGACCTGCTCTTGCATCATTTGAGATCCAGTAAGCATCTACAAAACCACAACAGTAACTATTAGTTTTGTTTGCTACAGCTTTTCATAGAGAGTTTTAGGGCATTAATCATTCATTTTTCTTCTTATTCTGAAAAGCATGATCATGGGCATTGATTGCTTCATTGCTTAATTAGCTTTGAGTACATCAGGAATGGACCATTATCATTCATGGAAGATGAGATCATTCCTCCTCATTTTGCAGATTCTTCCATTCAAGTTAAGAAAACAACCTGAAAGGCCGAGCGAACGAGTTATTTGGTGAATGAACTTCAAGGGTAACAAGAAGCATGTCACATAGTAGATTGGTAATGATGCATGAACTGCTTTGATAAAAGCCTCTCCTCTTACAGGGGACAGAAGAATAATTTTTCCAACTAGAGCACCATTTAACCAACACTAAGTACGTTACAGATGTAGAAATACCATTTAACTAACATCAAAGCTTTGCTTATTTTAAGTTTACTGCCACACTTTTGTGTTCGGCAAAGAATGTAGCTTCATGAGAAATAGATCTCTTGCTCTGTTACTGGTTCTGTTAGAGCTTCACATTCATCTTGTTACCTCCGGTTAAGTTATTCTAAAAGAGTAACACTATAGAAAGCTCCCTTCTTTATCTTAAAGGTAACACTTTTGAACAAACTACAACACACACCGGTCCAACAATTTTACAAACTAACAAACATACAAAAAACCCGGTCTGCCTCTAAACCGTTCAAGAACTATAAACCGTTCAAGAAAGCGCGATTTGAACCGTCTTAGGCTTCGGCGGTTGCGGCGGTAGCTTCTCAACGGTGACTGTCAAAACCCCTTCCTGATATTTAGCCTTGACAGCCGCCACGTCAGCATCTTCCGGTAACCGGAATTTCTTCACCAGATTCTGAGGGAGTCTCCTCTCGAGCCGAATGTACTTGCATCCTTCTTCACTTTCATGATCCTCTCTTTTCCTCTTCCCGTTACTCTTTATCACCAGAGTCCTCTCTTCCTCCACAGTTACCTAAAATCAGCAAATCCAGAGATTCCCAAATCACATCAACCCTAATTCCAACCAGTTATAACATAAGCATGTGTGTCTGTTATTTATATACCTGGATATCGGATTTGGAGATTCCGGGAATGTCGATGTAGAAGATGTATTCTTTGGAAGATTCCAGAATGTCGATTGGAATATTATTATTATTGTTTCCTCCTCGATTCTCGTTACCCTCGCCGGAGCGAGAAGCCGGGAAGATCAACTTCTCGATCGTCTCCGGCAAGCCAAACAAGTGGTTAATCGCGACAGCACTCATTTCTTCGATCAAAAAAGACTGATTACTGCCAAAACAAAACCAAGTAAAATCCACGAATTTCAGAGATATCCGGGAATCAATTTCCCGAGAATGTTGATCTGAGAAGGGAAGATACAGAGGATTAAACCAATATGCGAGTAAGTTTCCAGAAATTTTACCTGGAAATTGAGATAGTTTTTATGAGTTATAGTCTTCTTCGGATTCTGAATTTGAGACGTTTTACGGTTTGAAGTCTCGCGATGTTTAGTTATATAAACAGAGACACACCAGTAAGCTGGAAAGTTCCAGAGAACGATTCTAGAAGATGCTAGTGATCTACATGTCAATCACAGTAGATTCTACAGCGTTCACGTTATCAATCTCTTTTTATTGGGCCTTGTAAAGTATAAGGCCGTGGCCCATTAGATTTGATTTCTCTCTTATTTTTCTACTCATTTCTTGCCTCTATGTATTGTGGTTTGTTTCTATAATTTGGACAACCTACCTAACCAAACAATGTACATAATAATAATCAAAGCAATACTGTATAAAAATTTTTTTTCTTTTTTTTTACATTTTGTCATATATAAATAGTATAGTAGATTTATTTAGCCAGTGTTTTTCACGTTTTTGACATTACTTAGCCTGTTAGCCAGTGTTTATAACAGAAACAAGAAGAATGAAAATTTTAGTATTGGACAATTTGTTACGTCGTGTTAGAATAAAAATACTTTCGTAGTTCGTAGCAATAAGTCAATTTACCATAATACCATGTGAATATTCACAACATTTTTACTGCCTTTTTTTTGTTATTAAAGGAAAGAGCGATGGGCCTTTTCGTCAATTTCAAAACCCAATCGGGTCAATAACGGAGATTACCCATCCGGTGACCTTATCCCTTCGCCGGTGAGAGAATCTCAGATCTAAAATTTCGAAAATTCACCACATCTCACCTTCTCCGATCTGAGCCCTAGGCTAAACGATTTCCCATGGAGGAAGACGACGAGACTCAGTCGCTGCAATCTCCGGGAGATTCCCTTTCACCAGCTCCTTCCTCTCCTCCGATTTTGCCTACGAGCGACGTCACGGTGGCCTCTGTGACGAAACCGCCTGTTTCTTCTCAATCTCCGTCGGGAAACGCTTTGGCTTTAGTGGTTCATACTCCTTCCGTTACCGGTGTTAGCGGTAACAGAAACGGCCGAAGCGGCGGAGGAAGCGCCGGCGGAGGCGGAGGGAGAGACGATTGCTGGAGCGAAGAAGCGACCAAGGTTCTAATCGATGCGTGGGGGGATCGGTTTTCGGAGCCAGGGAAAGGAACTTTGAAGCAGCAACAATGGAAAGAAGTAGCTGAGATTGTCAACGAAAGTCGTCAATGCAAATATCCCAAAACCGATATTCAGTGTAAGAACAGGATCGATACGGTGAAGAAGAAGTATAAGCAAGAGAAGGCCAAAATCGCTTCTGGTGATGGACCTAGCAGATGGGTATTCTTCAAGAAGCTCGAGAGTTTGATTGGAGGCAACACCATAACCAAATCCTCCGAAAAGGCTCCTATGGGAGTTCTTGTGAACAGCCGCTTGAATGAGCACAAACGTCAAGCTAAAGGAACAACGCAGATCCTGCAACAAGGAGACTTGAAAAGAAGCTCTGATTCGATGCGGTGGCATTTCAGGAAACGAAGTGCATCTGAGACTGAATCAGAGTCTGATCCTGAACCTGAGCCTTCTCCTGACTCAGCGGAGAGTCTGCCACCGCCGCAAGCGTCTCAGCCGCTGGCGTTTCAGCTGCCAAAGCGGTTGAAGGTTGATAAGTCAGGAGGGAGTGGAGTTGCAGAGGTGGCTAAGGCGATACTCGGATTCACGGAAGCTTATGAGAAGGCGGAAACTGCGAAGCTTAAGCTGATGATGGAATTGGAAAAAGAGAGGATGAAGTTCGCTAAAGAGATGGAATTGCAGAGGATGCAGTTCTTGAAAACTCAATTGGAGATAACAAAGAACAATCAAGAGGAGGAGAGGAGCAGGCGAGGAGGAGAAAGAAGGATCGTTGATGATGATGATGATGATGATCATCGCAATGTCAAGAATAATGGCGATGTAAGTAGCTGACAATCGAACAACAAAAAAAATGTCTTCTTGTGATTTGCTATGGTTTAAAAACGTATCTAGATTGCTGGATTAGGATTTGATGTTGTTGTTGGTGTGCCTTGTGGGATGTGTAAATGTTCAAGTTTATGACAGGGCTTAGGGGTAACTATGTGATCATCATCATCATGTTGTTGTTATGTTATCTTGTCTTAAAAACATTGCCAAATTGAAAATAAAAAAACTTTGAACTTTGAATGTCTTAAGAACTTCTGTTTTCTCAGAATCAGAATCAAAACAGAAGTAGTCTCTGTAATTCTTCTCACAGAATAAACCTGAACTCAGCACCATGTCTAAGTACAATTTGAAACTATTGATTAGTCAGCATCTTTATCCATAATTAAAATCTCCTTAATTAAGCTAAAGCTAATAATTAACCTCACTAAAAATATTCAATGATTCTCTTTCTCCTTCTCCCTTACCTCTCTGCCTCTATAAAACCAATTTCCTCGCAGAAGAAAAATAGAAGAAGATATAGACAATACAAGAAAAACCCAAATAAATTATCAATTTTATATATTTTTTTGGAAACATTTTTGATCGGATGGGGTTCCTACACAAGCTGTGGGATGATACGGTGGCCGGACCGGCACCGGAAAGTGGTCTCGGAAAGCTGAGAAAGCACGATTCATTATCCACCGTCCGATCTCCTCCTCCTCTCTCTAGCGATCAAGTCACCAGAAGCATAATCATTACCAAGGGGAATAACAATGTCCGTGGTCTCCGGAAATTGAAGATGGATCCGGGTCGTGTTCCGGATTCTCCAACCGGGTCAAGCAGCAACCCGGAGACGCCTTTAACCCGTATTTATATCTCCTCCTCCCTCTCTCTAATTAATTACAATACAATTACACACTTATCTCATTTCGTGATAGAGTTATATAGTACGTGTTTACTTCCATTGAAATTTGTATTGCAAAATGCAAATTATCATCAACAACAACAACAACAACAAAAAATGTATTGGATTGTATGATTTCAATATTCTGCTAATTATCAAAATTAAACCCTTCACATTTGGATAAATATGCAGCCGGGACCCCATGTGATAATTTTGGACCATTCAGCGCCGATAAAATCCCATCCTCCGGCGAAGCTGATGCCGCAAGTCTCACTACTTATGAATGGTTATTATCTCCAATACCTAATTTCCTCATATAATTTAATTCCTAATTTGCATTATAATCTCGACGTTAAATATAATTGGGCTTTGTGTTTATATATGCTAAATGCAGGATTGTGATTAACGCATTGGACCGTTGAAAAACGAAGAGAAAGAGCGAAAATTCTACGGGGGTTTGTGTAAATATAAATAACCTATGCATGTAATTATGTAAATATTTACTGATATGGTCACTGTTATATTATGTCTCTGGAAACAAAGAAGCGCTATAGACGCTATGTCTCCATTTTCCGACAGGGTTTCCAATGATAAAGGAGGGAGTACTAAGTATGTATATATTTCTACTTTTAAGAAAACGATTCACAAAGAGAATGAATAAAAGTGAATACTATCGACGGGGACAAAAAGTTGACTTTCCGATGGTGAAATGTTGACGGTAAAGCAAAGGATTAAAAGAGAGGGTGCGACGCTAATTATAAGAAAAAAACATTGCGCTAATACGAGATGGCCTCGTTTTCTTTATCTTTCTAATTTCTTGCTTAATTAAAAATTAAAGGAACGAAGTCAGCAAAAGTAAAAATAATTAGCCTTTGGTCAAAAAAAAAAGTAAAAATAATAATATGAATCCATGCATCTAAAATTGACCATTAAAAACATTATGCTCACCCTAACCCATCATGGACAACCAAATTACTAAACCAAAGACGGGTTTGTTTTGGTCTAAGCTGATGATTATTAAAACTTAACAGGTCATTTCTGCAACTTCAAAGATACTACTCCGTAAGGAGTGTTACATAATTACAAACTTTACAAGGACCTTTATTGCTTACTTTGGTGTATACATATAATTTGAACTCGACTACCGAGAAAGTCAAACAAATCCCTTTTATTTCATGTTATTTTATTGCTTGGCATACAATCCAAGTAAAACCCCATAGGTTAATAGGTTACAGACTCAGCATACATATAGAATCAACGGCTTAAATGAGAGAAAGACATACATAAGACTCTGAACAAGGGCTAGAAAAAGCAAGAAAGTGATCAAATTTAAAAAGAAGAAAAACAAAAAAAAAAGGTATCTCAGAGCAAAAAAGAACAGAGTTTATTACTGATAGTACATGAGCTGCTGATGCGCCGCAGCTACATTCTGAAAGCCACCATCGTACATAGCTGCACTTGCTCCAGCTGCATTGACATGCCTTAGAGAATGTTGAGCCTGAGGATGCATCTTGGCTAAAGCCAGTTGCCTCTCATAGGCTAAGAGGTCCATTGGGGACAGACCAGGCACTGGGACCGAGACTGGTGGGGGAAGTGGATTTGAGGCTGTGCCTGATGGAGTTGGTTTGTTTCCCCAAGAACACTGCAAATTAATCACATTAACAAGTAAAATGAGTTTAGGGAGGAACCGGCGAAAACCAATTTACAAGCAGTGTTAGATCTAACTTATACATAACTGAAATTAGTACCTTTATCTGTCTGCTATAGAGGAAAGGCTGAGAGTTGCCCATTTGAATAGCAAGAGCAGCCTCGTCATGAGTGTTATATCTCACAAAACCGAAGCCTTTGTCTCGCTGGACGCGGACCTCTTCAATCACTCCAGCACCAAGTGTATGGAACAGACGGTGTAGATCAAGCTGAGTTACCTGCAAATTTGACAACTGTCACGAGCCTGTCTCTGTGTTTATAAAGAGAAATTCCGAAGAAGTTGATAACTTACTTCTGGAGCGAGGTTTCCTACATACACAGTGGTATATTGAGGATTGTTTTCAGGAGCTTCCTCGTTTGCAATCTCTCTACCATCCTCTGCGCAAGTATTAAATCAACGTAATCTTTATCAATATGATCTTACGGGATATTACAAGATTAACTGAATCTGCAAAGTAATCAAAAGAAAACCTGAAGAGCCGTTTGTAAGTTCAACGACACTTTTTCCATCAGAGCTGTGTTTGTCCTCGCCAAAAGTAGCACCTTTTGTCGCCCAGTTGCATCTGATTTGTCTGCTACTTAACCATTTACCTGAGATGAGGTGCAAGAAACATAAGTTATACTGACAAGACTATTATATTAAGATAAAAAAGAAGTCACTTCTACATACAAAGTATAATTAAAAAAAAAAATGGACATGCATTTTCAACAATTCATCACTGACAATCTGTAAGACACAGAGAATACCACAAAAGCTCTGCTTCTGTAGCCGTAATATCATACATTTAAATGCTTCCATACAATATAAGCCTCTCTAAAACCAAAAGCTGCTATATGATCATTCTTACCATTCATTTCGTTTATAGCAGTTTGAGCATCCTGCAAATTACATTTAACAATTAAAATCAATATAAAATCACGAATGAGGCTAAAATAAACAATCACCCATGATTTAAAAAACACAACACCTGCTGATTACGGAATGAAACAAACCCAAAGCCTCTTGAGCGTCCAGTTTTCTGGTCCCACATAACTCTTGCATCCCTACAAAAAGAATAACAGATCTTTCAGATGGAGACAAACAAGCTTAATCAATAGGTAAATTTTGTAATCCATATTGATATATTAGCACATCTTAGTAGTGTAAGGAGATTTTCTTTCTACTAACTAGTCACTAAGAGCAGTTGATTAAGCACAAGAACTTACGAGCAACTGTTAAAGCCAGAAAAGCTATCAAACAACGCTGCATCAGTAACCTCTGGACTGAGATCTCCAACAAAAATGTTGAAATGACCTGCAATTCAAAGAAACAGAACCACTCAGACAAACAAACCAAAATTCAGATCTTTGATAATCAATCTGTAGTAATCATATCTTACTTGATGTATCTTCTCTTTGACCGGTGGCATACGCCCAATTAACTTTGATAGGCTGTCCAAATCTGTGAAATCCAGTATTATAAATATATATAATCTAAGAGAATGTATGAATAGTTTGAATGAGAAGAACATGAACTATCAATGAAAGATGCTTACAGATGCCTTCCGTTAAGGGACATTATAGCCAGACCAGCAGATCTTCGATCAAAGTAGTGAACAAATCCATATGATGACTGTGAAGTATGAAACATGAACACTTAGAAGCTAATTCAGAGAAGTAATTTTGGAGAACAATGTGGTAGAGTTGCATTCGAAATAAACCAAAAAGGGCGGTTTTCGAAACTCCACCTTATCCTTTCTGATGAGTTTACAGCTTTCAACAGGGCCAGTACTTGAAAAAATCTCTTGAAGAAGAACCTCAGTGACCTGCGTATGGATGTTCCCAGCATACCTGCACAACCAGAACGAATTAGGAGCTGAAGCGTGAAACTCAGCAATCACAAATTATCTTGAAACTAATTGCTTAGTTCCAATATACCGAAAGGCGAAAAGAAAAAAAAATTCAATCAAAACACTCACACACTACGGCAAGTATTGGGATCAAAACCAGGAGGAAGGTTTCCACTTGGTAAGGGCTCCATCTGCAGAAATGCGAATGCATAAGCGACCATTTAGAGATAATTGCAGAACAAGTAGCAAGACCATTCCTTTTCCATGCTAAAGGTGATAAACAATCAGCAAAAATCCATATAACCAATGTAAGCGAAGACCCAGAAAAAAAGTGAAACAGAAATCAGCAGGTAAAACTGAAATTACTACCATGGAGAAACACGAAACCCTAACCCACAATCAAAAGTTGAAAACTTCCTAACCCACAATCAAAAGCTCAAAACTTTTCATGGTAGAGAGAGGGAGAGAGAGATTTGAAGGGCGAGGTACAAAGCTCGGTGATAAATACCCGCAAATCGGAATTTTCAGACCAAACCCTAGTTTCGAATGAGGCCGATAACGAAGAATCAAAGCTATTTTCACAAACCAAAACAGCAATTACATCGAAGACAGATATAGATTTAAAAAGAAAACCTGAGGCGGAGGAGCCATAACACCAGGATGATAGAGAGAGTGATGTTGTTGCATCATAGCTTGCTGAATCATAGCTTGTTGTTGCTGGTGTTGTTTCAGCCTCGGATTCTGCATTTTTTTCTCACCGCGATAAATTATATGTTTTGTTTCCCGAGAAAAAAATACCTCTTTCTCTTAATTAGGGTTCGAAATCAAGTAAGAAGAAGAAGAACACAAAAAAAAAGGTAAAAATGAAAAAAAGAAAAAAAAAAGGAAAAAAAAAAGAAAGAAAAAAAAGTTAAAAAGGAAAAGAAATAAAAGAGGAAAGAGAACACAAAATTGCACGCTCTGCGATGGAGTAAAGAAAGGGCCGTACGAAACTAGTGACCATATATAGGAGTAGGACGATTTCTCTGATACAGAGCTAATACTAATCTCACGGAGCTGTAATATTTCATTCCGTGACTGACCAATATGGTGACGGCCCAGCCCAAGGCCCAAACCTAAAAATAATTATTGCAGAGAAGAGTTCAAAATATACTAACGTCACAGAGCAATAAATATTCGTTTCCGTGACCGACAAATAATTAATAGTTATTGACGGCCCAGCCCAAGTACTAAACTCAACTGTTTTTTTTTTTTAATTCGGTTTATTAATAATTCCAAGTCCACTTTTACAAACCTATCAAATTATTCAAAAAGAAAATTTATAAAAATGTTTCAAACGAAAACGACAACGGTATCAAACCAGTCTTATACGTAAGAAAATGATTATCTTTTCATTATGATAAAAAAAAATTAAACTGCATGAGTGAGTAGTTAATAGTATCAAATCTTTTATCTTCTTACACAATTCATTATTCGATTATCTCTTATGTTTGTTCTCTTTTATGTCGGCAGGTTTCTTTAACGTTATTATAAAAACCAATCTAGTAATTTTTTCTTTTTTTTAAGATTTAATAGATTTAATCATTTATCCAAACAAAAGTTAGTGGCAGTGATGATTCCACTATAAAAGGAAATTTCACAAACGCCATTATTATGAATCTTCTCCTTTAAAGCGAAAGTAACTATAACTCGCCGGAATTTTATCTGTTCCCGGTAACTTCATGCCGCCGGCGAGAATCCGAATTTCCTTTTTTTCCTATTCTTCGTTCAACAAACATAAATAAACAAAAAACACACCCCACGAGCTGCGCGTTGAAAAGTCTATTGACTCTTTTCCCAAAAACCAAAAAACGAATTTGATTTTTCTTTGATTTAAAAATTCGCAAAGCTAAATTGGATTTCTCTTCTTTACCTAAATCTCCTTTTCAAAGGAAAACAGCTAATTTTGATCGGTGAAGTCAAAACGCTAAATCGGATTTCGATTTTTGTTTTTTTTTCTGTGATTGATTGATTATGGAAACATCGGAGAATCGTCGTGGCGATGGTTCCGACGTGGCGACGTTCGAGACGGCGGAGAGTATAATACTCCGGTGGGATTCAACGACGTCGGAGGAAGGGAATCTGATTTTCCAGAGCGATCGTGAGGAGGTAGATCGGTACTTGCGAGCCGTCGATGAGGTCCAAAGGCACATCTCTTCCGTCACCATCTCCGATGAACACAGTAGCCACGAAGTCAAAGCTAGCTCAACGATACAAATAGCCATGGCCAGGCTTGAAGATGAGCTGAGAAACATCCTTCTCTCGCAGACTTCTACTTTCGAACCTGATTCTCTTCTCCTCGATTCATCAGCTTCCTCTTTCGCTTCGCGTACTGAGCTTGAAGAAGATAATAGCGAAAGTGTTGTTGGTGAAGGTGACGAAGAAGAGGAACTGGATCTGGTTCTACCAGACGGTTCGGATTCGGGTTCGGGTGCGGGTTCGAGCCGGTTATCGAGTAGAAGAAGCAGTTGCAAATCCACGACCAGCATACGCGAGATCGATCTGATTTCTCCGGAGGCTGTTTCCGATCTGAGATCGATAGCTCAACGGATGATCGGCGCCGGATACGCCCGCGAATGCGTCCAGGTCTACGGGAACGTGAGAAAATCCGCCATGGAAACGATTTTCAAGCAGCTAGGGATTGTGAAATTGGGGATCGGAGATGTGCAGAGACTCGATTGGGAAGTTGTGGAAGTGAAGATCAGAAGATGGATCCGTGCAGCTAAGGTTTGCGTTAGGGTTGTTTTCGCCAGCGAGAAGAGACTCTCGGAGCAGATATTCGAAGGCACCATGGAAGAGACATGTTTCATGGAGATAGTCAAAGCCTCTGCTCTGCAGCTTTTCACTTTCCCTGAAGCCATAAGCATCAGCAGAAGATCACCTGAGAAACTGTTCAAGATTCTTGATTTGCACGATGCTTTGACAGATTTGTTGCCAGATATGGAAGAAATCTTCAACTCGAGTTCATCGGAATCGATTCTTGTTCAAGCAACGGAGATTCAATCAAGATTAGCAGAAGCAGCAAGAGGCATACTCGTGGAGTTTGAGAATGCCATTTTCCGTGAGCCTTCAGTAGTTCCTGTCCCTGGAGGAACTATACATCCATTAACAAGGTATGTGATGAATTACCTAAACTTGATCTCAGACTATAAGCAAACACTGGTTGAGCTCATCATGTCGAAACCGTGCGCCGGTTTGAAATGTACCAATGATCCAAACAAACCGGATATGGATCTCAGTGAGCTTCAAGGAAGATCTCCATTAGCTTTGCATTGTATATGGATAATGGTAATGCTACAGTTCAATCTAGAAGGCAAGTCTTTGCACTACAAAGACGAATCTTTATCACATATCTTCGTCATGAACAATGTCCATTACATAGTTCAGAAGGTCAAAAGCTCGCCGGAGCTAAGAGAAATTATAGGAGACATCTATTTAAGAAAGCTTACAGGGATATTCAGACACGCAGCGACCAAGTATCAGAGAGCCACATGGGTCAGAGTTTTGAATAGCTTGAGAGATGAAGGATTACATGTGAGCGGAAGCTTCTCTTCCGGTGTATCGAAAAGTGCTTTAAGAGAGAGGTTTAAAGCTTTTAATACAATGTTTGAAGAGGTTCACAGGATTCAATCGACATGGTCGGTTCCTGATACTCAGCTTAGAGAAGAACTAAGGATATCTTTATCGGAGCATCTGATCCCAGCTTATAGATCATTTCTTGGAAGATTCAGGGGACATATAGAAAGCGGAAGACATCCCGAGAACTACTTGAAATACTCTGTTGAAGATCTTGAAACCGCTGTGTTGGATTTCTTCGAAGGATATAGCACAGCACCACATTTGAGGAGACGATCTCAGTGAAAAAAGAGATCATTAGAACTAGCCATATATATATATCATTCTTTGGATTCTTTCCTTTTTCATGTGGCAGGGTTTAGATTGTTCTCCAGAAAAATCTCCAGCTTCTGGTGAGTGATCTTCACTCTTTTGTTGTACTTGTAAGCATAATTGTTGTGTGTTGTTGTTTTGCTTGTTGCCAAATATTAATGCTCCATTTGTTGATAAATGTTTGCTTTTTGTGTGCGACTTTAGATGATTGTGTGGAGGCCAGATAACAAAATGCTTTGGAAAAACTTTAATCCTAATTACAGAGTAACATCTCTTCTTCGCTTAGGCAATGATTCTAGACTTCTAGTCCATAAAGATTCAAACCGAAACTGGACACTTGCACAAATTTGTAAATGAGAGAGAGAGAGAGAGAGAGAGAGAGAGATTATATTTCGTTTCCCTTGAACCACAAGCTTCTTTTGAAGCAAAGTTTGATGCTATTGTACTGTACGGTGCCACAATAAGCATATATGGGTCTAACACTTGCCACTCTGCAATAAAAGCTGAACTTTAGGCTCTATTAATGGAGCTTTACAATACACATGGATCGAATGACATCGATTTGTCGTCTTCGAAGGTGATAATAAGTCTGCAACAAGGATGGTCAATGAAGAACAACTCAACTTTGGATTACACAATTGGGTAAGAGAGATTGGATTGGAAAAGTTTTAAGGTGTGGAAATCATATGGACACCACTACTTGGTTGGTAATCAAGCGGCTGATAAACTTGTAAAGGAGTTCCCTCCAGATACTGATTTTTAGTCTTATTTTTATGTACCAGTTGTTATTGTATCAATCCTTCATGAGGATCACATTATTTCTTCTTAATCAAAGGTTGATGATGATGTAAGAAAAAAATTTAAAAAAAAAATTGACCATCTACTAAAGCAGCAATCGACGTCATTTTCATTAGTAGACCGAGTGTATAATTGTGCATTTTTACGTCACAGATAGAAATATTATGATTTTACTCGCTTTCAAAAATAAAAAGGGACATTATGATTTTAATATTAAACAGGATCAATTAATGCGACGACATTTTATTATGGCCAAGCGATACTAAGGCAATGAATGGTAAACCAAATGCGGTACGGTTTTTGCAAAACCGCTATCTTGTTACCATTCATACATATAAAGCGTTTTTAAATTTGTTACCCAATTATATTAAAAAATTCAAATAATGTTAAGTGCGGACTATAAAGTGATCAAAATTATGCAGTTTTGAAAAACTGTATTTTTTGGTGTGTTTCAACTGCGGTTTTTTTTGTTACAAAAACATTAAAACAAAAATCTTTAAAAAAATCTTATCCTCTTATACATTTTTATATGAAAAAGATGTTTTAATTATTTTAAATATTAAAAATAATTAGTTACAATATGATAAGTATTATGTTTATCGCATTTTATATTTTTACTAATCAAATATTATTTTGTACCGCTTATTCTACTAATATACTTGTCCCGCAAATATATTTCTCCCACACATACCGTAGTTAAATCGTACTGTACTTTAAAACCACTTTTTCTGCACAACTAAATACGCCGTCACCGTTGGGACCCAAACTAGTTCCAAACCAACTGTAGCGTAAGCCTTCGTTCGTTTAACACACATAATTTTCACCCACACAAAAATATAAAAATAATAATGTATTAAAGTATTCAATAATAGTAATATTCGACGAACCTTCTTCTTTATTTATCTTCTTCAACAAGGGAAGCGATCGTTGGTGTTGGAACAAAATTAGAAATTTCACCGCGGATCTAAGAGATAACTTGTGAGGTTTCTTGCACGCTTTAATTTCATAATTTTCCAGATTATCAAAGATCAAAAAATCATAATCGGCATCTTTTTGTCAAAGAAAGTCTATACATAAAAATCATAACAGATAATTGTTTGTAATTCATGTGTTACTAAATGATATGATTAAAATTCGATCCTTATTAATGTCTTGATATAACTGTATTTTAAACTTAATCTTAATTATTTATTTTGTTACAAATTTTATTATTTTAGTGAAAACACAGTAGTTTTGTATTTTATAACTGTCTTATAAAATAGAAGTAAAAAAAAAAAAAATATCTGTCTTATAAAACCTTAAAAAACTGTATACCATTTTATAACATGCTTTATAGATAACCTTATTAAGCTTATAATAAGGTCGTTAACAACTTTATAAAATATTTGATCAAACTTGAAAGAAACTTATCAAATATGAAAAAAGATATCATATTTTGTATATTAACAACAAAAATGATATATACCTAAAAAAATAAACGTAGCCTAATAATTTTACTCATTTTAGTAACCATTTTTCATAATCAAACGATTTTATGTATATCAGTCAAATAAAATAAATCCTTAGCTGGCGTTGACAAAAACCAAAAGAAGGGCTAGTTAGCTGGCGATCTCCACATAGTAAAAACATCTGGCTGCCTGATTCGCCTGAACACATAGGCTGACTTGGAACAAATCAGTATTGTTGTTATACTGTATTTCCTCTGTTTGATCATTTATCATTTATCAATGACTTGTTATATGAGGAGTGTGTGAAAGAGTCTAAAAATATGTTTCCTTTAAATAGCTGCAATATATCTATCTCTGCTCTTTATCACATCTCCTACATTCTTCTAACGATCACTAATCAAAAGCTTACAGCAAAAATTACAAAAGTCTTCTCTTTTTCATTTCTATGATATGAACTATTCCTTGGGTTTGATCTCATTCTCCGGTTAACTGTTCTTCTTAGAAAATGATTTTGTTCTCCGAGCTCTTCAACGGCGAAGCACAAGTAACAGAGTGGGAGAGAGAGAGATAACAAAAACCTTTACATATATTAGTCTGTATATATCCATATTTGTACAAGATCTATTAACCACACAACAGATTCGAAGCAAAAGGTTAGTGTTTTATTAACGAATCAGATTCCAGATATCAATCTGTTTCGTCTCTGTTCTTAAATCAAATCATTAATTTTTTGATCTTTCTGAATTCACAGAGAGAAAAAGATGTCTGCGAATTTTATGGCGACAATCACGGAATCGAAGTCGTCGGAGACACAATTCACGAGATGCGAAAGTTGCGGTATGACGGAGGAGTACACGGCGGCGTATGTAGAGAGCGTACGAAAGCTCTACGCCGGAAAATTGATCTGCGGGCTCTGTTCCGAGGCGGTGGATTACGAGATTTTCCGGTGGGGGAAAAAACAGAGACGAATCGGCGTCGAGGAGGCTTTAGAGATTCACACGAGGTTTTGCCGCGAGTTCGTTACTTCTCCGTCTCCGACCATTGATTTCATATCGGCGATCGGTGAAATGTTCAGGAGAAGATTAATAACTCTGGATTTGCCGAGGGTTGTGACGTCAGAATCGCCGTCGCCGAGGAGTATTCCGGCTGTGGACGGTGAAGCTATTTGTGCTGCGGCAGTGATTGGTGGAAATGGAAGTTGTTTGCCTGCTTTGTCCGGAGGTGCATAGATTCGAATATTCGATTTTCCGGCGATGAAGAAAGCGTGCGTTTGAAGTAAAAAAAAAAAAACATGTATTTAGAAGTAGTCAATTAGAGAAAGAGGTAAAAAAATCTGTAAATTATATACTTAAAAACAAAAAAACAAAAATCTGTAAATCGGGAATTTAGGATATTGACTTGATTGTTTACAATGTCAATTGTTGATATGAGTATTTTATTAAATGGAAAGTTTTGGTGTGTTAAGTATTTCTTGGGTCTTCATTTTATGATTTCCTGCTAAATTTCGCATTTTATTCGTACTCTATTTGAAATTATAAAGGCCAAACGCACCTTTCATAGAGGAAACAGATAATACAAGACTAACAGTTTGATCTAGTATATAGTAATTTTGATAAATGTTGTTTTACTTACACTAGCTTTTGGTAAATTAAAACAGAAGTTTTATATAACTTTTAATTTTAAGAGCATAATAATTGTTATCATTATTTGTGTTTAGATATGTATTTCTTGATTAAGTGGATTCTTACAATCTTGCATGTGCGAATGCCAAATGGATTAATGATAAGGTTATTCGTTCAGTCAGATTAGGATTCAGTGGGACCTAATTTGTAATCGATATCGTCAAAATAGAGGAAGATTCTAGGTTCCAATTACTCTTTTTCTTATCTTTTTTCCAAAATAAAATAGACAAAAATTTAGTCAACTTCCACAATAAAAAAACGTCGTATCACTATGACGAATAATGCTTCGTAATATCGTTCTTGGTCGACGCGCCGACGGCGTCTCTGATCTGTCCGTCTTCATCATCGATTGAGATAAAGTATTCATGAGTTATACTTTGTGCCCTCACGTTTTTGTTATAACGTGGGATTAACAATTCTTGCATATTGAATTTATATTTGAGCCTTCACTTTCTTCTTTGATAATGATCATATCCATTAATTGTGAGGTAATCAGATATCAGGTTTAATAAAAAAAAACCAGCAAAATCTTCGAAAGTAGATGGCTATTACTATTTTAAACCTTAGTCCGATTAAACTTTATATCAAGTAACATTAGAGACTTATTTTTATTACTTATAAAAGCGGGATTATCTTTCAAGTCCAACCCATTGAAACATGGAGCCAAATACAACATTAACCGGTACGTAAATCCCTGAAAATTAACCGAAGTTAATTCCTTGCGCTAGAGGTAACTCGTTCCCATAGTTGATCGTACTGTCAAAAGATAAAAAACCAATCCAACGAATCAGAAACCAAAAACTCAAACCAGCAAATATGTTAGAAAAACAGAGAGAAACATTAGGAGTTTTTACCAAGTTGAACGACGCATGTATTGCTTCCATGAATCGCTTCCAGCTTCACGACCACCACCTGTCGCTTTCTCGCCTCCAAACGCTCCTCCGATCTCAGCTCCGTTCGTAGGTATGTTCACATTCACAATGCCACAATCACTTCCCATTGGTCTAGCAGTTAAAAACAACCATAATTTCAGTAAGCTAAACTGGAAAATAATGAGAGAAGTGTTTTTTTTTGTGTGTACCACTTACCCGATCCACTTAAAGATGTTTTCGGGATTACGAGTGAATATCGAGCTGCTTAGACCTTGAGGAACCGAGTTGTTTATCGCAACAGCTTCTTCAAATGACTGTGCAGAAGAAAATGGTGTTTTCTCACTTATCTCTTAAGTCTCTAGTTTCTGAAGAAATTTTGATGATTTTTGAGACTTTTTTTACCTTAAATTTTAGAGCATATAGAACAGGAGCAAATAGCTCTTCTTTAACAACAGATGCATCTGATGATATCTCGATTATCGTAGGCTCCACAAAGTTTCCTTCACCTTCGATTGCTTTACCGCCCGTTAGTATTTTACCGCCCTGCAAAAGAAGGGTTTCAGTTAAAAGTTGAAAAGGTTAAACTCTTTTAACGCTTCTTGATTACGCAGCAAAGGATAGAAATTGAGGTACATGCCTGGGATTTGATGACTTCGATTCCTTTCTCAAAGTTCTTCTTTGATTCAGGAGTATGTAGTGGTCCTAACAATGTCCCTTTTTCAAGAGGATCGCCGATTTTGACTTGTTTGTATGAAGTAAGGAGTTGCTCGAGCACTTTATCATAGACCCTCTCATGCAAAAGCTTTAAGACAGTAAAAAAACATTAAGCAAAAGGAAAACTACAAACATCAAAAGCCTGAAAATGGGATTAGATTTTTGTACCAGCCTACGGCAAGTTGTGCAACGTTGACCAGCGGTTCCAACCGCAGCAAACAGAACAGAACGAGCAGCTAACTGTATGTCAGCATCTTCCATGACTATGATTGCATTGTTTCCACTCAATTCAAGCAGAGTTTTGCCAGATCTCGCACTCACTGTTTGTTGTACCTTTAAGCCCACCTGCGCAAAATTGAAATATTCAAACAGAAGACAGTGACAGCAACAAGTAGGCTCAGTGTTTTTGGTTGGGTGGTGGATTATAGTACAAGGAAGTACCTTGGAGCTTCCAGTAAAGGATACTAGAGGAATGCGTGTGTCTTTGGCTATTGCTTCACCAATCTCAGCACCACCACACATGGCCGTAAAAATGGCACCGGGTAAATTGTTCTTCTCTAAAACTTCGGCCACGAGCTTAGTCATTGCGATAGTTATCAACGGTGTAGTTGGAGCACCTTTCCTGTGGAACCATATGTATTAAAGACACAAATTAGGCCAAAAGGTACATCGATAAAGGCTACAGTAGTAGTCATCGTCAAGACTAATTTTATTTCATGTGTATGCAGTCTCTCAACAATGTATTATACTAAGAGAATAATCGTTAGAACAACATGGAGGATTCGTTAAAGAGTCGACTAGATTCGGATTTTTGTCGACTTAAGTATCATTAAGACGGCTACTTGAAGTAAGTAATAGCTAGATAATCCTCAAAGTTCGGATTCGGGTCAAGTTCGTTACTTACCAGACTACACAGTTTCCGCAGACCAGTGCAATACAAGCATTCCAACCTGCAATACCACAACATAGTTCTTAAATTTATGAAACGGAAAGCGGAAGCACAAACTTCCATCTTGCATTATCAGTTCATGTACTTCCCAGTTATAGCTAGATCATAGTGCCACAAATCTAGTTGCCGAAATATGAGGAGCTTCATCTATTTCTATTGTGTCCACTTTTATTTGGGAATCAGAAAATGAGACATATTAGCGGGTAAGATGGTATACAGTCTTATATCGTTCTTCTGTTTTGTAAGGCACGCTCATCAAGATTTGAAACTGGGACAAGAGACTTACCAAGAACTGCACATGGAAAGTTAAACGCTGTGATAACACCTACAATGCCAAGCGGATTCCACATCTGCGTTACAATAGCCAAGCATAATGTTAATTATTCTCTTAAGAAAAATATTCTAAACAACTCCAATGAAAGAAACACGCAATCACCTCCAACATCATGTGATTTGGGCCTGCAACGAAGAAATGACATGAGTATAGAGAAATGATAAATCTTCAGGTAAGATACAGAAAACAGGAAAAAAAAACATCTCCGAATCCACCTGCCTTCCAGGAGAGATATGACTAAGATTTAAATTAATTAGGAGAATATTTTTTATATAAGCCACAACTCACGTTCTGAAGGTATGACTGATCCATTGAGTTGTCGGCTCAAACCAACAGCAAAATCACACATGTCAATTACTTCCTGCAAAAGTTGCACACAACGTGTTATTTTAAGCTATAAGTAAAATCAGCTGTTTAGCTCTATATTAGCATATGCATATCATCATAGGCTCCCTTCTTTTCAAAAAGGTGTTATTATGTAAATGTAACAGAGAAAAGAAACCAAGTTTTGCAGACTTAACATACCTGAACTTCTCCAATTCCTTCAGCAAGGATCTTCCCCATTTCAAGTGAAAGAAGACGGCCAAGATAGTCAAGTTTGGATCTTAGTGCATCTCCAATTTGTCTCACGATATCACCTCTCTTGGGAGCAGGAACCTGATAAAAGATTTTTATTTTATCGTTAGTTATTTGGTGCAGACTGCTTAAAGTTTCTAAGCAATTCACCTTAGTCATTTACCTGCATCCATGTTTTAGCTGCTTCCTCGCAAGCTTTCAAACCTTTCTCGTAATCATCCAGAGAAGCTTCAACAACTTGAGCAATTGGCTGCATCGATAGTGAAGCATCTCAGTATGCAAAGACAAAACAAAACCGATTCACATGGTAGAAACAACATCAAACAAGATTCCATCGGAGGAAAAACAAACTAATCCAGCTTATAAAGTATTTCATCAACAAGAACAACAATAATCATTGGCCCCAATATGATCAATCACTCTCGATTCTCTTCCAACAAAAAGAAAACTTGAGGCATAAGTTCAGAATCATGTAAGAACCTGATTGTTGGCGGGATTGAGAGTAGAGACAACGGGTCCGTTTCCTTGCCATTTGCCACCAACGTAACTTCCGAGGTTGTGAGAACTCAACCCAATCTCACTCAGAAACTCGTACTCTTTGTTCGCAGAACCCATCTCTTCTACAAATTCACCCAACAAAAAATCAAAGTCAATAACATAACGAGTTGAAAGTAGATGCATAACAAACCCAAGGAAAATCAACAATCCGATGAACACCCAAAAAAAAACGATCAGGATCAGAGAAATCACCTGATTATCGATCGTATCGAAGAAGGGAGTATCTTGATTAGTTCTTCTGATCACGAATTTTTAAAAGGAGTGAGAGAAGTGAGAGAGACGTGTACGTCTTTAAGAGGAGGAAGTAGCAGCGACTATATCGAAGACGAAAGCTGAGCTGGTGTCTTGAGTCCATCCTTAGCGTTACTTTTTTGGCTCCATTCATATCAATGGCTTTGCCACGTGTCCTATGCCTCCTTTTCCGGGTCAAAATAAACCCGGATAGGATCCGGATTAGGCAGGGTCAAGCACACAGGGGAAGGGAGGGGAAGGGAGGGGAAGGGAGGAGAAGTTGTCGCCATTGTTGCCACAAGCTGTCATTTGATATTCACTTTCGAATATGGGCCTGACCCATATAATTATGTGCAATAAAACGGATTTAACCGCTTTATAAGCCCATCTAAACTAACCCTATTAAGAGTCGTTAGAGGTTTTGTTCAGTGAATTAACTCACCAGATTCCTATTTTTACAATCAGGTTTATTTCATCTTTCTTTTTTCTAGACGATTATTTGGTTTTCTTTTCCTAACATAAATTAATCTAACTTTACATTCGTATATGTAATACATGGTGGAATTATAGTGAATCCCTAAAGATGATAATTAGTGAATAACCTCAAAGATGATAATCTTACTTGTAAAGTATCAGTTTACATAAAGCCGTTGTACTTACAATAAGCCGAAAGTTCAAAACTTTCAAAGTTTTTTTAAAAATATTAGCTTATTAGCTTATAACAAATATTAGCTTATTAGTTACTATCTTGTATCTTCCTTCTAGCATCTATGTAACCTTAGAAAATGGTATAAAATTTTAACATTTTATAAAAGAAAATAGTTTTATTTTTATTTTCAACATGCGAAATTATGATTAAAAAAAGTTTTACATTTACTATACGAAATCATGATAAATTATGTCAACTTTCACATATAACATCTTGAAGAGTAAATTACATTTTCTAAGTAAATCAAACTCGACACAGATGATTTGATAAACAATTAGAGCAAAAAGCTTCCACGGACTTTTGTATTTTATAACAGTGCTAATTGCTAAACACACTTCAACAAAAAGAATTTTACCGCCAATTTTATTTTCTTTGTTTTTGATTCTTTTTTTTTTTCTAAAATCTACGCTCTTTACACTTTTTAAAACCATTTATTAGTTCATAATTGAATATAGGGTTGAAAACAAAATTATCTGCCGATAAGAAACAGAAACTAAAGCAAACAAAAAAAAACAAAAAAAAACTTATGGTCTGGTTTACAATTACAACCACCAATCAACTAATCAAGTCTTAGTTTCGGGGTCAAATAAACCCGAATAGGATCCGAATTAAGCAGGTAAAGGATCCGACACAGTCGATTGTCACCGATCTCATCCGATTTTCCGTGTTAGTTTGTTCCAAGAAGAACACGCTTTCCTGCTCACATATCACGAATATCGGTGAGCACCTGAACCCTTGATTGAATCTCTTCTGATCGAAACCGGAATCCTAGGGTTTCAAAATTTCCTCACTTTCCTCCTATCTTGCTAGTTGAAAGCCAGCCCCTTTCCTGGTTCGTTTCGGTGTGGGATTCTCATCTTATTAGTCGATGATCTATGGCGGTTAGATAGTGTTAGCAGAATACCAGGTTGGGATCTCGAGAATGAGAGCTGTGAATTTACTGTATAGCTCTAGCAATCCCAAATTTCGAAGGATTCTCAATGGTCTTTGTGCTGTAATCCTATTCTTCTTCTTCTTCCTTGATCGGAGCGATTTCCTCAGAAACCCTTTTACAAAGAATCTGTTTTTCGTTGACGGAAGTAATCGAGGATTGGTTTCCGACAATAATGGATTTAGCCAGTATACTGTAATTCGTCGACATATGGTTGAAGTTGACAAGGAAAGTTCTGGTAATAACAGCTTGAGTGTTGATAGTACTGTGTTGTGCTCTGGGTTACATGAACACAGAGGTTATGCTGATCAATGCGAGTTCTTGAAATCGAACCCGGTTTGCTCTCCAGATGGGTTCTTTGATTACCTGAGCTTCTTTTACTGCTCCTGCAGAGATTTTAGGATCTTGGGTTACTTGGTGTTAGGGGTTTGGCTTGTTGCTTTGTTTTATCTCTTGGGTAATACTGCTGCCGATTACTTTTGTTGTTCGTTGGAGAAGCTTTCCAAGCTTTTGAGGTTGCCTCCAACTGTTGCTGGTGTTACTCTACTTCCACTTGGTAACGGAGCTCCTGATGTGTTTGCGAGTATAGCTGCTTTTGTAGGTTCGGACAAAGGAGAAGTAGGTCTTAACAGCGTCTTGGGCGGTGCTGTGTTTGTGACTTGTGTTGTTGTTGGGATAGTTTCGCTTTGTGTTGCGGATAAAGAAGTCAAGATCGATAAGAAATGTTTCATCAGGGACTTGAGTTTCTTCCTTTTCACATTGGTGTCTTTGACTGTGATCTTGATGGTCGGCAGAGTGACTGTTGGTATCGCCATTGCGTTTGTCTCGATCTATGTGCTTTATGCTTCTCTAGTGGCTGCGAATGAGATCTTGAGGAAACATTCCAGGATGTTGAAGCTTGATTCCATTACACCTTTGCTCCCGATGCAGGGGAGTGTGTTCTCGCCAAGTGTTGAAGATGATAGTCCTATGTACAGCTCGTTGCTTGAACTTGACACCGAGGAAGGTCCACCTCGGCTGCATGATTCTCTACCACAGTGGATGTGGGCTACAAATGTCGCCATCTACTCCAACCATTTCACGAAAGCCAATGTGCATGATGAAGAAAGACCTCCATGGGGATGGACTGAAGATGGTGGAGAAGTCGATAGCTCGTTATGTGCTAAAGTCACATCCTTTTTGGAAACTCCACTCACAGTTCCTAGACGTTTAACAATCCCATTGATCGAGGAAGATAGCTGGTCGAAGACGTACGCTGTGGCCAGTGTCTCATTGGCTCCTGTCCTGCTTTCTTTTCTTTGGAGCAGCCAAGATAATGTGAGTCCTCAAGCTCTCGTTGTAGCTTACTTTATAGGAATTGCGATTGGATCTGCTCTTGGATATCTAGCGTATAAAAACACAGAACCTGATCGTCCTCCACAAAGATTCTTAATCCCTTGGGTACTTGGTGGATTCATCATGAGCATTGTATGGTTCTACATGATTGCAAACGAGCTCGTTGCTCTGCTTGTGACGTTTGGTGGAATCTATGGAATCAACCCGTCGATACTCGGTTTAACCGTGCTTGCTTGGGGAAACTCAATGGGAGATTTAGTGTCAAACATAGCATTGTCGATGAACGGTGGAGATGGTGTACAGATCGCGTTATCGGGTTGCTACGCAGGTCCAATGTTCAACACGCTTATTGGGTTAGGTATGTCGATGCTTCTTGGTGCTTGGTCCAAGAATCCAGAGACTTACATGATCCCGGAGGATGATAGCTTGTTCTACACTCTAGGGTTTCTGATATTTGGGTTGATTTGGGCTCTCGTGATGCTCCCACGCAACGAGATGCGACCGAACAAAGTGATGGGCATTGGTCTGATCACACTGTATCTGATATTTGTCACTTTCAGACTCAGCTCCGCCATGGGATTCATACCTTGGGCTGCTTCATAACGCCATTGTAACGAGCTTTGAGATCTGTACGGTACGATACGATTAAGATTGTAATCAGCTTACCGTATACATCATCTAGTTAGAGAAAGCCAGAAAATCTTGTTTGTATTATGTCAATGTAACTGATAATGAATCGCTTTGGTTGATCTCGATCGTAGAAAATAAATGTTTTTATCTGATTTTAAACTGTCATGCAAACGTAATACAGAACAGAAACATACTTTTTTCATAAATAATTTATAACTTGTTGAAAATTATAACATTATTCATTTCTCGAATAAACGAGTTCATCCATTAAATTATCATACACTTTCGTATATCAATATTATTATTGCTTAATTAGTTACTAATTAGATTTGTTATCTGACGAAAACAAAATAAATTTGATAACTCTAAAAGGATCCCAAATCGAGATATAGACTAACGTTTTTTTTTTTTTTTTGACATCAGACTAACGTTTATGGCATGTAAAATAGAATTAAAATTTTTTTTTTATCAGGGACGAATTGCAGTGTATGTATCTACTCTCAACCCACGCAGAAACTAACAAAAAGTTGATGACAGAAAAAAAAAAAGGACAAGAAGTCAAATATATCATTTTCTTGGTGACTGTCCACTATAGTAGATTCAAATATATGATTTCGAGATATATACAGACTGCATTAATTACCATGTAACATATTAGATTCCATCGCATTTAATTGAATAGATAACAATATGGGTCCATAGAGCGTATGTAAGTATGTGGCATCGTGGAGACCAAGGCGTAAGGTTAGTCATGTCGTAGTATCTTATCTACATTACAATAATATATCTCTTTCTTGCGCATAAAGGAAGCATACGACGTCAGAGCTTTTGTCACTTAGACCCTATTATAAATACTATAATCTTTAAGAATTTTGATGCCATATGTATATATCACCATCTAGTAACATTATATATCATTTATATAATATGATTTGAATGTGCTCAACTGAGGACAAGACATCCAAGAACATGTTATATCCTATTGCTCTGTTCTCGCAAAATGACAACCCTGACACTCATATGGGTTGTGTTTAATAATTTTGGGTTTATATATCTGCCTTTTTGTTGGTTTTTACTCAGTTTAATGTTGGATTTATTTATATGCATATCAATTATAGTATGTGAAATCACCCGATCTAAAAATTCCAGTTGATAGATAATCATGCTTTAGAAATTCATATGTTTTGTGACGAACTAGGAGTTTGTTTATGATATTTACATTTCAGTTTATAGTATGTCGGATCTAGAGCTAGCGGGGTTTATATAAAATCACGTATCTTTAATTTGGATTAAGATTGTACTCTAACTTCATCATAATAAACAAACAAAATAAAATCAATCTGTCGAGTTAAGGCGCATAGTTTAATATAATACCCTATATGTATATATATATATATCATTTAGCAAAATACATATATACATATATATCGAATAAATTAAAATAAAGGTAAAGAGACAAACATACAAAAATAAGAAGAAACCAGGTTTATTCATAGTGTGTTTAACATAACAAATTTTGTTTTTATGATTCAAAAAAGGAAGACATGAAAACAAGTTCATGCTCTATACATGATGAGCCTTCTAAACTAAACCGTCTCTCTTTGACCATATTATAGGGAACATAGAAAACATAAATGTGCTGCCCATTGCGAATCTAATTGAATAATTGATCATAAGACTATCTCCAACGCAGGGTAAAATGGGGTTCTTCACATAGGTTGATCAGATTTTTTGGATTAAAATTAAATCAAAAAGGCTCATTATTTGATGAACCGCCTCTTGCTGAAGGACCTGAAGAACCGGTTCGACGAGATTCATCAGCCACATGTCTGTTTTTCATTTGGTGAAACCCATATGAAGGTAAAACCACTATTTCTCTTTCTGTTCCCCTTCTCCCCTTCTTCTTCCTCACTGTACATGCAGAGCCTCCATTTCTCTTCTCCTTTGTTTCTCTCTCTCTACACAGATTTGTTTTGAATTGGATTTCTCTTTTCTCTTGGGTATATATAATAATGATGAGGTTCCTCTCTTTCTTCTTCGATTGATTTTTTTTTCTGTGCTTTCTCATTGTTTTCTCTATTTGTTTCTTCTTTTGATTTTTTGTTTTTAATTGATTTTGGTGTTCTTTTGTGTTTCTGTTTTATAAATTTTTTGGTTTTACTTTCGTCGAGGGATTCATCACGTGTCTGAAGAGGTTCAGGGTTGGAAGGGGGAAGAATTAAGAGAGTCAACACTATTCAAAAATCAAATAAATATTCATTAAAAACTCCAAAGAACCTCCCCATGGAGTTTAGGGTTGGAGTTGCTCTAACCTCTAACTCTATATCTCTCCTTATCTCCTTTATTTAAAACTTTCTGTATTCAAATATAAATTGATCATTTCCATCGCCTTTTAAAAAAACAAACAATGAGATTATAATTGGTCCAAGCCTGTCCATGAATGATCCGTTTCTTTCCATTTCTGTTTCAAATTCTCCGAACTTTTCAGACTGGAAATTATCCATTTGGATCTAAGAATTATATCCAATGGATAAGAAAATAGGTTGGAATGGGTTCGAATTACTCAAGCAACTCAATTGGGTAATTATAATTATTAAGATTATCTAAAATTATTTAAAATTTATCTCAATTTTTTATTATTATTTGAGTTATTTGAAATAACTGTATGTTTGAAGCTTACTTTTACCCAAATTAGTGAGAGTTTAGATAATAATTTTAGCTACTTGAATTTTTCGAATCTTTCAATGACAATTTGTTCGTCTCATATATTTATTGGGATTTCTTTTTAGATATTACTTTTTAATATTCGAAATGGATGTTCTTTGGATTTATTTTTTCTTATTATGTGTATCATGCACATACAGCTTCACTAACATTTTAATCAATGTCTTTATTTTTTTTTTAACTAAGATTTATAATATTTAAACACCGAGGTTATTCCGAGCAATCATTCGTCTCTCCAACTGCAAATCATCCACTTGTCTCTCCAAATGCAAATTATGGCCTAATGTAGCTTGCTTCTTAGCTTTAATGTCATTATTATTTTATTTAACTTATAAGTATATATGGACCAATCAATTTATAATCGGAAACAAAACATATATCAGACTGATGTGTGGTCCAGTTGAGTTTTATGTCAAAGTGTCGTGATATGTTGGCCATAAACTGCATATACTAACAAAAACCATTAAAAAAATGGTGTTATACCATTCAGACCATGAAAATACTATATTATATAAAATGTCACATGTCACATGAAAGGTCACTGACCCCAAAACTAAAAATGTATATATACACAATACCTGTAGGTGTATGTGTATTTTATATGTACATATAAATTAGTTTCTCGATGAGTCTTTCTAAACATAATTAACTTCTCTCTCTCTCTTCTCTCTCACAATTGTTAACCAGATGGATCCTCGCATCGCCTCAACCTCCGTGTTCCGGTGGTCTCGGGGTCGCCGGAAGATTCATATCCGTCGTCGTAAGTCACAGGTGGTGCGTCTTGGGGGGAAGAACAATATGGTGCCACGTGGCGGATTCTCATTGAAGAAGATGGTGAGGAGGATGAAGCTGAGATGGTTGAGACTACACTACGTGAGACTTGTGAAGAAGATCAAAGGGTTTTATCGTAATTTGGTGAAAGAGTTCGTAGACGCAGGAGCTGAGCTTGAAGCGATTCAGAAGCGAATGGCGGTTGAAGCGGCTGCGTTTGCGGTTCCTGGTTTAGGTCTCTCTTTCTCCTCAATGTCAGTCCATGACCGAGCACGGTATTTTCTTGTATAGTCATATAATCATATTCATTCAATAATTAATCTTTGTAACTTATTATTACTTTTTGTTGTTGTTGTTGTTGCATCTCATAGCTATTTATTTTATTGTGATTTCATATTTCTTGGAATCATGAGAATGCTGGGAAGTGAAATTGGTATTAGTACAGAACTACAGATGGTTAAATATCTTATATTGTACTACTTGTAAGGTAATATGAAACAAAATTACATATTATAACCCAAAGAAGACCTATACATGTATACAAAAATAATTTTAATCTTGCCGTAAAATATATTATATAAGCTATCCAATTTCTCCATCTACTAGTCTACTATCACATCTATTCACTGGTAAAAATGAAGTGGGTTTGTTACAATTTTGACCCAAAAAGTGTTATTAAAATTTTAAACCTTTTCAGTTTTGTGGGTACCTAATTTGTTTATAATGAACCTAATTTTTATTTTATATAATCACCGACAGAAACCAATTTTTATAATGAAATATAGTGATTATTATGTGAGAAATTCATAGATAGATAAATTTTTTCTTTAAAAAAAAATATTTTCGTAAAAAGATAAGATACCGAAGATAAATTTCAGGTAAAAGAATTGTCATACCAAAAAAAAAAGAGAGAAGAATTAAGTAATTAACTAAAAAAATGTCAAGTTACAAGTTACAACACATGCATGCATATATGTATACATATATATATATATATATATATATACACACAAATGTGTGGGCGTAGTAACGTGATTAAACAAAAAGATCATGGCATGAGATATCTTGTTAAGTGATTGAGTTAAGGTGCATGCCTTGCTGGAAATGCAACACTTTCATTATTATTCAGATCTTTATTGATTCTGTACACTATTCTTACATGACAAACTCGTCGCTTCCCGATAATATTTAATCAGCAATTAAGTTATCTGGATTTCGGACGATTGCTTTAGATTCCAGAATCTCTATGCTTAAGCAATCAACTTGGATAATTAAAATCAGTTTTTCCAAGCAATAATGATTCTAATCATAACTTAGTATATATACAAATCTTCACAAAGTTACAGTTTTAAAAGCTAGGATCTACTACTATACAAAAAAAAAAGCTAGAATTTACTAGCGTAAGTGGTGTTGCAGCCTCTGCATTGTATTAAGATTTATTCTAGTACGGAATTCAATTCTACCTTTTCCGTTAATGGTTGAGAAAAATGGGTCAAAAGTCTAGTTAACAGAAAAAAAGTTCTGTATGCTGTTTTATTTGGTAAAAAAAAATGTTATAGCTAGCATGGCATCTTTGTGCAAGTTCTGTATGCTGTTTTATTTCGTAAAAAAAAAAAATGTTATAGCTAGCACGTCAGTATCCCGACTCTAATACAGAAATTTCATTGAATAACCATTTTACTTGATTAAATATACATTTAATAAAATTAAACAGGGACTACCACTAATTTAAGAACGTTCTGATAGCTAAAAACCTAGAATTAATATGTATGCTTAAACATTTACACAATACCATTGAATAATTGATTATCAGTTTACCAGTTTTTAATTTGATTTAATGTTGACACAGTTACAGTTTGAAACAAATTTTTTATTAGCAAGAGTTGTATATTGTTAACAAAAGATATCTATACTTGTAATGAAAGTAGTTTTTGGACAGATTATACATGCAATGAAAGTGGTTTTTGATAAATTCTAGTTTTGTTATGGAACTCAAGAATCCGCAAGATTAATAATAGCCCAACATTTAATAGATAAATAATAATAATAATAATAATAGCCCACCAACATATATATCATAAGTCACCAAAATGGGCTTCAAATGAAGGTCATAAAGCGTTGTTTCATTGGTGAAGAAACAACTCACACCTTTCCCGTCACTCACAGACTACTAAACCGGAATTAAACACGTTGTGACTTGTGAGGAAAGGTATCGTCCCGTAACGTTGTGTTCTAATAGGTTTTTAATGCCATTTGATATCTACCTGGCACAACGTGAAACTAAACGAAATCAAGAAAGTGTATGCCTCGTGTATAACAAGAATAGGTGTGTTGGCTGAGGATGAGAATCTGCTTGACTTTTTCGATCTTATTCTTTGTTTTGCAGGACAATCTCGAAGGTTAGGCTTTTTCAGTCTGTTATTGTTTATCTGAATATTGTTTTTGAGGCTTCCTCTTGACTATATCTACTGTTGCTGCGTATATGAGGAGGACCCATGAAAGCTGTCCCGGGAAGGTATGGTTTATATTAACTAAGGGATCAATAGAGCGACGATCTAATATATATTTATATGATTCCTCTATATGGTGTACTGTTTCTCTTTTTCAGCTTGAAGCAAAGCTCTTTTGATTTACATCAAAACATCAAAATTTAGCTTCATAAAACAGGTGAAGACTAGCAATACCATTATGATAAATCTCAAACGACCGTTTCATGTGCCATAAGTTTCATTTATTATCATACTGTTATGTAAATTGAACACTCGAATTTTCATTAATTTGGCGATTAAGATATATTTTTCTTACCAATGAATTATAGTGTTAGATAGTCTAATTAATTAAAGTTTTCACATGATATCCTCTCATCAGATCGTTAACTTAACTATAGTAATGTCTTATGCCTCCCTTTATCAATCAAGTATATTTAGATTTTCGGAATCATCAGAAAAAAAATTGAGTGCTAAATTGCATAATTATGAAAACAAATCGAATATAAAACCTAGTCTTTTAATAGATAAATTTGTCACAAGTTCGATTTGCCTTCACAATTCACACTGTAACTACGTAATGTATATTTAGCATTCAAAATTTTATTCGGGCATAGAACAAGTTATCAATCTTTCACAGTATGTATGAGCCAGATTATCTGATTGATTTTCACTAAAACGACCATTTTTGCTATCTTCATGAAAATTAATATGAACTAGCTAGCATTTGTTTCTTATTTTTGTGTAAAAAAAGTCTAACAAAAGATATGATGAACCAACATTTATAGTTTTTTAATTTGAACTATCATAACTTTGTAGATGTACGATCGTAATGAAAATTAATTAATTTAACACACACACATGTTTCTTTGGTTTTTGTAAGTTTTTTGTAATTTCACAGCACTTCAAACAACAATAAGATTTAAAGGATCGTGATCAGCGCGTGTTTTGTTTTTTTTTTTTAATTGAATGTCAAATTTATTCAAAAAAAAAAAAAACCATTGTTACAATGGCATCGAGAATTTAGCTTTTTACAATGCTGGGATTAAGTTAAAAAAGAAACAGAAAGATTTCTATCTGCTGAATAGCCACATTCAAAGAACAGGTGGCTCCTTGTTTCGATCAGATCAGGGCATAATACACAGTTTGCTGGCGCTCTTGTGTTCCATGCTGAGATCCGATCTCCCGTTGACAGCCTATTTAACACCGCAAGCCATACCATGAATGAGTATTTGGGCGTGGCTTTGGAGAACCATATACCCTTGTACCATTGATTAGCTTGCTGCGGTGTCCGAGTCAGTTTCCAGGTCTCTTTAATCTTTTGCTGCGTGCTGTGTATAATAAAATCCTAATCTTTTGATTGCTCTAAAGAGGAAAAGCATAAAATAACACTAAAGAGAAACATAAATTTGGCTTCGACCACTAGCTGAAAATGTTTCTGTACAAATTCTTGATTATGAAAACTAAGTATGTTAGAGGTTAATACTCCCTCCTCCGTTTCACAAATTTCACAAATTTCATAAATAGTGTTGTTCTGATATTCTTCACATAAATTAAGAAATAAGATAAAATGTCTTTTATACCTTTATTAATTTGCAGAAAATGACTCTTAAAATTATATTTATAATTAATTTTCTGAATTTATTTTTGAGGTTAAAAATGATATTTTATGTCAAAATTTACATTAGAATTTTAAAACGACATTTTTTTTAAACAAAAAAAATGTAAAAATGACACTCTTTGTGAAACGGAGGGAAAATATTTTTTAAAAAAGTTTGTTAGAGGTTACAAAACAAACTGTACCCAATTGAAAAAAAAAACATAAATACTGATGTCTTGTTCTGTTGTTCATCGTCCATATAATTATACTCCTACGGTTTCAGAGGTACGTTACTAATTGCATGGTTGCGTGGAGGAGAAAAAGTTCCACGTTACTCAAGTCTTGGGTGGCTAAAGTTTGCACTTTGCACGCTGCCTCTAAACGGGAACGTTTGCTTCTAACGTAATCACTTTAGCTAACTATTTTGTTTATTATGAAAATCACCCTTTAATTTATATGTTTTCTCCAAATAGCATGCTTCTTTTTTTCATTTAACCTAAAATTATAAAACAAGATGGCAGATATTCATTCGAAATTTTTTTTTTTTTTTTGTCGTCATTCATTCGAAATTAATCAGTCGAATTTGTCTGCTGCTTATTTACTCGTGTGTATATACCGAATATGGCGTTTATCATTTTGACTTCAGACCTTAAAAATGAACCGTATATTGTCGTGATGAGTTTGACGGCTGTGATTTAACTGCAAGACTCAAGCAGAACCGTTGTTTTATTGGGTGAACGTTTCCCACAAGTCACGGAGCGTGAATGCTGACCTGGCACAAAGATGTAAACTTTTTGGCCACCAATTTGGAGACGTGTCTTATTTACCTCCGTCCCTCAGCACCACGTGGCAATTGTTTTTTGTAGTGATGGCTCTTCTTCGAGAATTCGTCGGTGTCCTATGATAAGGGAAAAAGTTTAAAAAACCTTTAACTATTTAATATTTGTTAGTTTCTTATCTTAATTTTTTATGTTGCTAGAAACTTACATGAATTAATTTTTTGGATAAAAAAACTATCTAAAATATTTTATAGTTCTAGTTTTCACCCCACGATTTCACAGCCGTTAACGGTCAAACGAAATTAGTAAACTCCGTTATTTTCTAAAACAAAAAAGCTAAAAAATCTCTCAACCATTTAATCTTTGCCAAAAAAATATCTGAACTTTTAATGTTGCCAAAAATCTACATTAACTAATTTTTGTTTTTGTTTTTTGAGTTAAATAACACTAAAAAACCAAAATATCAAATAGTTTACAACAACTAAAAAAAAAGTTATCACCAATAGAATTCAAAATAAATTACGATATATTTTTTTGAAATTACGATATATTACTAAAGATTTTGTAGATGAATGCTTC